TCGACCGTTGTGTGCATACAATGCAGATCCAGCGAAACAAGATCAACCAGATTTCCATTAAACAAGGTCACTAGCAATTCTAGAATCGTTTCTCGGGGGGATACCGGGAACTCGGGCGTTTCTCGTTTTTTCGTCGGAGTTTTCGTGTGGTGTTTCTCTCACCGCATTGCCAACCTCATGGACCTCAGCCTATCGGATAGGCCCTATCCGTATAACGTCGTTGTAGATCAAAAGGCGACGCACTTCTTTGGGCGGCCTCGGCCTACAGCAACGGCGATGGCCTGTAAGACAGTACGAGACAGCTGCTGACGGTCAATATTGGTCCTCAACCCTCGCGAGACATCGTTCTCACTGGAACCACCAGTGATGGTCCATAACTGTCTTCCCGAGTCCAAGTTATACGCTCTCGATCCTATCGAGCCACTCTCTCGAGCTCGGCGAAAGCCTTGGCAGTGTTCGCTAGGCTCTCCTGAAATCACTGCTGACTTCAGCCTGGATGAATTCGTGAGTGGTTATGACGTAGCCACGTTGAAGTCTGGCCACTATCAGCTCTGCGATGTCAGTTCGAGGTCAGCATCGTCGTAGAATGCAGCGCAGCTTTCATTGTCGAAAAGAAAATTGTTGATGCCCATTAGCTGGATCGCGTGGTTCTCGTCGGCTTTGATCAAGGTTAGGTGATCAGCTCTGGCTCCAGTGATCCTTGAACTATTAACAGAGTTAGTCGACTAGGTGGTGTGGAGAGGACCGAAGACTAGCAGGCCTCCCCCCTGAAATCTCAGCTACGGGACAAATATCCGATTAACCGTGCCGTACCAGGGGCCCCTGACAGGGGCACGCCACTCGAAGGGCTGTCCCGCAGTGAGACAAAGTATGTCAGTTACCAAGGACTTTCTCTTAGAATACTTGGACTATTGAAGCGAGGGAGTCCCTCGCGGTTCCTCAGAGGGACCTAGTTCACTTGCTGACTCGAATCACTTCTGCTAGAGTTGACCGTACTGTAGCCTCTTGCAAGACTTACCATCTTTTCGACTCTTGACGGTTGACAGGCCTGTCACGCCTGACAGGCCTGACAATATCAAAGTCAAGAAGCAAAAAAACCATTTTGTCGTAGAACCGCCACGTTCCACGCGTCACGGAAACTCCATAAGGTGCGGGCAACTGTGGGAAGAGATCGAGCGGGATTAGCTGTGTTTCCACCTGCTAGCGAGCTTTTTTGGTAGTAGTATGCCCTTTAGTAGCGCTGGGAGTAGTGGGTCCCTCAGAAGTTTTTGGGAAGCGTAGGAGCACCTGGAAGAGTCTCACGTGAACGACACATTAACAATGTCTCACTTGTCGCCAGTCGGGCACTTAATAGCAAGGAAACGCGGTGATCAAAAACCACTATACTATCGTGGTGAATAGCCTGCGATGACAGCGATGAAACACATTATCCAACTCGAAGTATCGACCACGTGAGGAAAGAAGCCCTTATGTGAAATGAAACACGAAAGTATGGTAAATGGTGCGAGTGTCCTTAATAACCCTCGACTATGTGGTTGCAATGAGCCGCTCCGAGCAAGGAGAAGCTGCGCACCAATTTTACACTCGACGACACAGATTCGGAATATACAAATGCAGGCCTCAACTTATGTGCCCTATCTGATATAGGACCCTGATGATACCATCGGCTGGTATTAAATGTGACCCTGATACCGTAGCATTCAGCAATCTAGTCGCCTTCGTCAGGGACCCCACATTCATTCCTATCGTACCGTCTTAGAATTGATCGCAGTGCTCACCGGGATGATCGCCGTTGGATTTGTCGTCGTTGCCGCGCTCGCAGTTGTTTTGCTCGTAGTTGTTGAGCTCGTAGTCGTTATGCTTGTAGTTATAGTGCTCGTAGTTATCGTGCTCGTAGTTGCCGTACTCGTGGCTGTTATGCTCGTTGTTGTTATGCTGGTAGTTTTCGTACTCGTAGTTGCTATGCTCGTAGTTGCCGTACTCGTAGTTGCTATGCTCGTAGTTGCCGTACTCGTGGTTGCTATGCTCGTAGTTGCTGTACTCGTGGTTGCTATGCTCGTAGTTGCCGTACTCGTAGTTGCCGTACTCGAAGTTGTTGTGCTCGTAGGTGTCGCGCTCGTCGTTGTACTTGTACTTGTGGTTGTCGTTGTGCTCATCGTAGTTGTACGTCGCGAAATTGTGCTTGTCGTGGTCTGCGGGGCACTCCTTGTAGTGGTTGAACTCATACTTGAGGTAGTCGTCGAACTCGAACTTGTCGACTGTGCCGTCGTCACTGTCGTTGAAGCGCTTGAAGACGACGGCACAGTCGGATTACTCGTCGTCGCATTGGGTTGCATCGTCGTACCTGCAAACTGCACAATCCAACTCGGATGATCATGTACAAAATCAACAAACTCGCAGTGTTCGACACTACCAAGTTGAGCCAGACAACCTAAGTCACTCACTCGGCTGTGGGAACGGAGTTGGTGTGGTTCCGCAGCCTTG